GATCCCATTGATTCAAGTACATTGATTTTTGCATTGGTTGCTGCCAGTTCAGTCTCTAGTTCCAGTTGTATAATTAACTAGTTGAAGATATTAAATCATTTCACAGTCTAGCCTATTTATATAGACATACAAAGAAAACCCAAACATATCAGGATGCCACACTAACTATTTCCTTGGGATCAGGCAGGGAGGAAGAATAAAAACTGTCCAAGCTCATATTTTTAAGCACCCAGGGCCTATTTTTTAAAACAATAAATAAAATCCATAGGCCTACGAAAGTGTATGTGTGCAGGTGGTGAAGATCTGCTGGGTGAGTCGAGGTGAGAAGGCCGATCTGTCTGTGCGCGGTGTCTCAGTGCGCTCTGTGCGCCTGGCAGCACAGTCTGTTCACTGCAGCGATTTCACACAGAAAACTATATATTGAGAATTTACTGTTTTCGTGATTCCACTGTCTGCCATTGCTGATTCCCGTGTCTGACTAATTTTGCGTGAGCGCATGAGAAAGGATGAGTGGAAACTCCATCCGTGCGTTTTTCCGCCAGAGGACTTATTGCTTTGATGTAGCACAAAAATAAATTATTAGGCTATTATTAATAAAGAATACAATTGTTTGTTTTTGAAAAATAAGAGTGACTGCTTGCATTAAAATTATATACACAAAACAACTAATAATTTACTTTCTGGGTTCAGACAAATGTTGAAAACAGTCGGTCTCGATTGTCGAAGGTGCAGTTCACCCCACAGCTCAAGCTCTGTGCAAAAAAATAACATGAATGCTTGTGAAACCGAAAGAAGAAACATGAGTTGGTGGCACTGATGCCTACATGCAGTCAACACGCTTACACGGAAGACCTAAGTGAACTGCGGATGTGTTTTACCGGGTCCACCTGAGAAACGCTGATATCCCCGCTAAAGTAAACCCGCCGGCGTCCTCCGACCAGGTCTGATTCATGGAAGGACAACGTCTGTCCAAGAGGCCGGCAAAGACACGCAGCGACCCAGAGATGTAGCCTGCGTTAGACTCTCCTTATTGGTAAGTGGAGAACGTCCACACACACACACACACACACACACACACACACACACACACACACACACACACACACACACACACACACAGATTACTTTAGGGTGTCATTTCGTTTTAAAGCAATCAGTCACAGTTTTTGGGTTCTTGGTATTTTTGATTTTGCTGTTGTTGTTTGTGGTAAGACCTTCCTCTTGCGTCTCATGTGTTTTGTTCTTTGTCTCTGTGTTGTGTGTTCTGTTTGTCATTTGTTCATTTGCCACTGTTTTACTTTGAAGTTGCTGTGTCCTTGGTGTCATTTTATTGTCTTACTTCCTGTCTGTGTTCAAAATTAGCGTGTATCACAGCTTTTCAGAGTGTGTGTGTGTGTGTGTGTGTGTGTGTGTGTGTAACTCAGGCAAAGGCTGCTGCACTGAAGCAACACACACTGGAGGTGTTGGATTTTTAACCACATAGAAACTGTTGGATAATAGATGATAGTGGCCTCTACATGGCTCCTGGCAGCAGTTTCTGTAATAAAAGCAGACAGAAATGCTCCATGACCATCACGCCACATAAATGCATTTTACAATTATAGAGGAGTAAACTGTAATTACGTAAAATAAATGTACCATTGTCATCAGGCTTGACATTATCTTTTTTGCTCACCAGCCTCTGTTGCTAGTTGTTTTCCAAAGTTACTAGCCACACAGCATTTTCAGCCACATTTTTGTTGTTGGGAAATTATGTTTAATATGATTAAAGTTGACTATTGCGCTAAAATTTACTTGAACTAAATTTGTCCTTTTAAATGTAGATGAACACTGCACCCAAATCAAGAATACATAAAATGTATAACTTCAGGTCATTGTAATTAGCTCTGATTAGGTTGTGTGTAAAGCGCCTTTTTTTATGAAAACATCTCGGCCTAGTCTATGAAGATAAAGACAAAAAAAAGTAGCTTCTTATTGCATATAATAAAAGTGGTGCATGGTTGTAGAAGGTTAATTGAATATAAAAACTAAACTGGAAAAAACTAGCATCAGAAACATTATATTTATTTACAACAGCAGTAAATACTGTAATACAGAAAATGATCTGCAAGCGAAACAAGGAGCAAAGATGAACAAATTCTTTTTGTCCAACTGACGGCTTACGGGTCTTTAGGTCGAAGGGACTGTGGTTTGATGACTCAACTTATATATTCTCATTTCACAAAAGTTTTGATGTCATATTTGGAGCGCGCACCCTCGCGCTGGGACACTGCAGCAAGAGGGTGAGACGCGCTTGACATGTGGATTCTCCTGCTTGATATTATAAAAAAGCTTGCTGTATTATCGCTGGTCAAGTTGACACTTAACCGTAGGCCCTAAAGTGTCATTTTTACTTCTGCGTCGAACCACCTCCTCAAAAATGTAACTACACGTCAAGTCGATGTAGTCGATGTAATGTATTTGACCGTCAGAGCGAAATGACTTGTTTTACTATCCGAATGTGATCCATTTGGTTGATAACATTTGAAAAGGCTACATCAGCCGCACGTATACAATTTTACCCCCATTCACGTTAGCGGAGGGCTAACTGGAAGTTAGCCTGCTGGGCTGAGCTACGCCATAGGCTATGCGCGTAGCCAGGCATTTATACTTGTGCGTCAGTGTCTCCATCATTCAGTTCAATTCAATTCAATTTTATTTATATGGCGCCAAATCACAACAACAGTTATCTCACAGCGCTTCTGCAATTACATCCCCAAACGCTAGTCGGCAGTAGCGCTACAGCGTCCACTGTGTTGACTTTTGGCTTAGGCCCTATGCAGGAGTATAAATCAAGTTTAACAGCCCTCATGCCACTTGGGAATATTTCAGTGCTCCAGAACAATTCAGGAACAATTCAAAATATAAAGAATACAACAGAATATGATGCAATGATCAGTAGCTTGATTTTTAGCTTAAGTTACATTTTTTGGACAATGCAAATCTCAAAGCATTTTCATTTGTTAGTTAACATTTCTTGCTATTTTTCATAATACATTTATCAAATCCTTTTAAAAAGTGATGGGGAGAAAATCACCCACTTCAAAAGGTGGTGGGGACATGTCTCCAGCATCCCGGGTGTCTCACATCAGCTAGGAGGATGCAAGCACATGAGAAAAGTAGCTAGCCCTGCAAACACGTGGATCAGAAAACAAAAAGCAAACACACATCTACCAACTACAACCAACTTAAGCAGAGTTTAATCCGTCGAAACAACAGCTGTATAGATATAGAGTCCGACTTACATCGTCTCTCACTGTTTACAGGCAACTCCCACAATGAAAAGAAACTCTGACACGTCATGTCTCCGGTATTTAAGCGTAGCTTGTGCAACTACGTACGTTACTGCCGTAATTGCCAACCATATTGTGATCCGCACCGTCTCTTAACATGAAGAACAACAGGAGGTTAAAAAGGAGAGAGAAATTATGAGGCCCCCCGGTGTTTATTATCCACCTTTACTCAATGGTAAAAAACGTCTATGTTCACTGATTACCCTGGTTGTCTTCACCTCACCTGTGCACATGCAGTAAGTGGTTGTTCTCTTGTTGTTGTTAGGACTGTTTTCCAGTGTTTCTAACAGTGTTCACACCGATGTCTCGTTTAATGCTCCGAGTCCCAGGATTATTTCTCTTGTGTCATGTGGATATATGCTGTCTTTTGTCTTGTCTTTGTATTTGCACCTGTTTGTCTCTGGATTACCTAGCCTTTGTTTTTGGACTGTTCACCTGTTTTCACCTGGTTGTTTAATAAAAACTCATTAAACCTTACCTCCATCTTCAGTCCATTCTCACTCCCAAGTTGTCACATAGCCTACGGATGGTCAAGACCCCTTGCTGTCAGTTTGTAACACACTGGGGAGCCCTCTAGCATCATAGTTCAATGTGCTGGGCAAAGCAAATAGTCCAAGTAAGGAAGGTGGTTGGGGTGGATGAGTGGAACACAAGCCAGACTTTCACCAAGAGACTGGTGTTTGTTCCTGTGTGAAACAAAAAGTCAACGTTGAGGGTTTTGTAGTAGTTTTGTTCCTAAACCTAACCAAATTGCAATGTTTCAACAACATACCCTTTCACAACGTTAAACACTCATTTTCTTTTGAAAGTCTAACCAGATGTTGCATATTTATTCTACCAATCTGACCATGGAGCTCTACACGTTGAAACAAAATGCTGAACGTGTTCCCAGGGCGATAAAAAGTGACCAAACATCTAAATGTGACGGGTTGGACATTGTAATGATGAAACAAGTGTGTAATTGCTCTAACTTCTATTTGAAACAGAAAGGAACCAGCTTAAGTGAACTGGCTCAGCTTTGTGAAGACTGAAACCTGCTTGTTGGTGAGTGCAGCTTTCATTTTGAATAATTGAGCTGCTTCTTGAGCGTGCAAAGGTTTGAACCGGGAAAGTACGCACCAATGTTGAAATGTGTTTTAAAATCTAAAAAAACTTTTTTTCTTTTAAAAGGATGTTAATTTTCCTTTTAGGGTCTGGGACCAGATGAACAACGCAGCCGAAGAACATGTTTTAAAAGTTTCTATTTGAAATCAAGTCGAAAAAAGAAAAGATGGAACAAAAAAAGAGGAAAACTCCCTCTCCCTTCTCTGCAGGGTATAATGTAGACAGTTGTAAGAAGGCAGGTGACACAGCACAAGCCAAGAAGGAAGGGTTGAATGAGGATGGAAATGAATCATTAGACAAAAAAATTCAAACTTCCTTCTCAGAGAAACAGACTGCAGAAGAGAAGTGTTCAGAGAAGGATGAGCTGCCGAGCAAAAGTGTCCTCAGAAGGTATCATGAGGTTTCCGTAGGTTCTGCCTCTCCCTCCAGCTTCCGTAAATCTATAATACGTCCTTACGTCCGGCTTCCTCCTCATCACCTCAGACAACAGAACATCAGCTCTGCCCAGTTTGTGCATGATACTGTCAGACATCAATCTCAACGGTCTCGTAAATCAACTGGCCCCTCATACAACCAGCTGTTCAACAGTCTGAGCCCTGTCTACAGCAGCAAAACACAAGGTGAGGTGGGGAAAAACACAGATGAGCTTTTACCCACAACAACAGCCCATCATGACCCAGACATAGAACAATATGATACGAGTCTTCCATCTGAACCTTCACATGAAATGTTAGACAGATCATATTTATGGAATGCCTCCATTTCAGCACCAAAACGTTCCCAGAGTGTCCGTGTTCATTACTTTCCCTACTTTTCCAATCCATCTATCCGCACTCCCTTCTCTGCTGAGTACACAGGTAGTTGTAAGAAGACAGGTGACGCCCAACAGACAGGGAAGGAAGAGTTGAATGAACACATAAATGAGCCATTCATACAGCATTTAGGAAGTCAAACTTCCATCTCCGATAAACCAACTGCAGAAAAGAAGTTTTCAGAGGAGGGTGTTTGGGATCAGCTGCCAAACAAACATGTTCGCAGTTTGCCTCGAATGTCTTCCTCAGCTTCTGCCTCTTCCTCCTGGAGTCTTCATGATGATAGCAGGCATATATCTGGGATAGGTTCTAACCCTCCGCTTCCTCCTCCCCCACTACCATACATGCTCCCCTTCCTTGCCCCGTCTGTACGTAATAATGCTAGACTTCAATCTGAACTATCACCTGATTCATCACGCTTCTACAATCTCAACAGCTTGAGACCTGATCTCAGTTCAGCACCAAGAACAGCAGACTGCTACTCGACTATTGTTGGTAATAACATGTTCTCACTGAGTAATATAACTTATGGAATGATAAGGACACAGGCTGACAGGTCATCTGACATGTTAAAAAACATCTATGGGGAGTCTAAACCTGTTCACACCTCTGCAGCAGATGCTACGCTGGGAGTCAATCAAGATATTACCAGGGAATTGATACAAGCATATGGAAAAGCTCATTTTCTTTCAGCTCCATCACCAGTACCAGACCAGATATTGCAGCTTCCAAACAATAAAGACACAGAAGATGGTGGCCCCAGACTTAGTAACTCTAGTTTTACTGTAAGTCCACAAAACAGGCCTGCAGTCCTCCAGGAAGACGAGTTGGGAGATGACAGTGATGTCCTGGTGGAAACAGCTGTTCCAGCTGTGAACTGCTCAGTCACAAACACCCAGCCGACTCATCCTCCCCTCCAAACCTCCTCCAGCTGTTTGCGTCGTTCTCACAGCGTTCCCTCACTGAGTCTAACAACCTCTGCAAAGAACAAGACCTTCACCCGATCAAAGAGCTTACCTGACCTGCTGTTCAAACCCAGCTGTGAGGAGTTCACCCCTGATATCACTGTTGATGAAAACGATGAAACCTACAGGTTCCAGTGCTCCTGCCCAGGCCTGTACCAGTGCAGTGTGACAGGCCTGCTGTTCCACATGGAGGGAGAAGGGGACGTGGTTTACAGGATCGTCCCCTGGAACAGGAGGCTACTGGCCCGACACCACAAGCAGCCTGCAGGACCCCTGTTTGACATCAAATGTCTGCAGCAGTCTGTGTGTCGGCTTCATCTCCCACACTGTGAGATCCGCTCCACAGGTGGAGGTGAGTTCTTGTCAGTCGCTCATGTGAACGACGAGGGCATCGAGTTTATCGGCCCTCAGAAGATCACAGAAACTCACGTTGTTATAAACATCACAGGGTTTTCTGGTTTCGGTAATGTCAAGGATGAAGACTCGCCGGCTGACCCGGTCCGAGCGCTGGTTCTGCTGTTCTACAGGCCCCCGGCTGATCCCGACGCTGAATCCCTCCTCAACGTGTTGCTGCTACCGAGGAACGTGGTGCTCCGGGATGTGCTGCGCACCAGGAAGAAATTAGTTGGAGATGAGAGCTACATAGAGACGTCCCCACACTGTAAACTGCAGCCAAAGCAGGAATACACACTGTCCACTTGTCCTGCAGAGGACTCAGTTCTAGTTCAACCAACAGAAGCAGAGTTTGACTGCGACAACTACGACAACTACTTCCCATCATTCCAGGTGATTTTAGAGACAATGAGGAAACACGTGAAGCTGTTTCTGAGAGACACCAACAGCTCCCACAGTGTCTGGGAAAGACGAGTTTGTCTCACTGGAGTAAAAAGGTCCTGTGGGCCGAGCGCTCTGAATCTCTCTTCAGATAAGAGGCTGTTGGACATACGGAGCAGCTTCATCGAGGGGATATCAGGACCGGTTCTCACAAGTCTGCTGGACAAACTGTTTGAGAAAACGGTGATAGCTGAAGCTGAGAGGGAGTCAGCGGACGAGATGCAGAACAGAAGAGACAAAGCTCGTTTTGTTATCGACTCAGTGAGGAAGAAAGGTGACGCTGCTAGTTCAGAGATGATTGAGTTCCTCTGTGAGGCCGACCCCTTCCTCTGTGAACATCTCGGGCTGATCTGAAGACAAATCAACAGGTGATGCAGAACATGTTGACCTGGTGGCCAGAACCTGATCATCCTGTAACTCCCACAAAATACTTTTAACTGGATCATTCACTGTTTTGATCTTGAGTAGTTTGCCTTGACTTATTGCTTGAAATGTTAAATTACAGTTTTCCAAGTAGGTTTTTTTATATTTGACAAAAATATGGGAACCTATTGTGAATCCATTGAATGTAAATTAATTTAGTTTGGTTTGTTGTAATTTCTAATGTAACATTTGTGGCCAATTGTTTCTATAAATGATTCTCTTCATCAACTGTACAATATTTTTTAAGAACCATAGATATAGAGTTTTTAAAAGTTGAATTTAAAAATAGTTTTTTACTTACTATATACAGTATCTTGACTGCAGCCCATTTTTTATTATCTCTTATCACCTGATTCTGACATGACTCACACTGTATATTCGATTTTAGTACACTTTTGATGTTTGTTGTTTTTTTATTTAATTTTTAACATCAAATTTTTTTTTTATTCTATTGCTTTCTGTAAGGTCCCAAAAAGGACAAAAAGAAGAATGTTTTTTACGTTTTTATGGTGTTATAAGGCTGATTGGGCTGGGCCAACACCTGTGTAGCTCTACTGTCAGAGCTTATTTAACCAGGACTGATCATTCTGTCGTTCTCTCCTCCTGGGCCGACGTCTCACTGGTTTGTTCTGTGTCTTCCTTTTTGGTTTATCCTCACAACACTCACATACACATACATCTCATTCATCCGTTCACTGCTGACACAACTGATACTCATACTTTGTCACACCGCGTGTCTTTGATTATTTGACATTACTTTTATAATAAATCATATTATTGGCTTGCAAACTTACTTTTGTACTCTGACTCTGCAGTCGGGTCACATTTACTGCAGATGAGCTGTGGTGCAAGTGAAACAACAGTTTTTAATTTTTTTTTTAATTAAGTGAATAATTGAAGGCGAATAACCCTCCTGGAGATCTATACTGTCTTATTATATCACACATTAATTTATCTTATCTTGTGTGTGTCAAAATAAATGTTTATTTGATGTTGTACCTTCATCAGCCAGCTGAATGAGCCATTTGCTTGTGAAGTTTCTTGGTGCGTTTGAGATGACTGCGTCTGACTTTCGCCAATTTGAGAGGTGACTGCAGGGGCGGGGTATAAAAACGGCGCCGTCAAGTCGGACGCATCCTACCTGCAGCAGCTTACTGTGAGCTGAGATCAATGACTGATCTTGCGGCATTTGCAAAGAATAATACCACGAGACCAGATAGCGTCATCACGTTTTGTGTGCGATGTCTTCTGGGACAAACCATATTTGGAAGTTAAACTTCCGTCAACTTCGTCACATTCGTCTGCGGGCTGCATCTGGATATACTTGCCGGCGAGAGTCGAAGAATAAACTCTTTTCTTCCCACTGCTTCTGCCCCCTTTCCTTTCATCTGTCTTCAATTACTGTCTTAATTTTGCTACTAGACATTTCTACACTGTAAACTGATAAACCATCATTGATTATGTCCCCACCTTAAGGTTAAATCTGAATATAACTGTAGTGGTGACTTTCTGTATGTTACAGAATTTCTATTAATGTTTGGAAAATTCTAAATAAACTCCTTATCGTTGTTTTTATTTTCAAATCATGTAAAATCTAGAGTAGGAGCAGGATGTACACTGTAAAAAATGATTCTGTGGTCATGTCGACAAGCAAATGACAACGCATTTGGGGTCATGCAGGGGCCCCTACCTAGCGGGGGCGTAGATCGGCTGTCCCCATGCAACCATGTTATCTTTCTTATGTGTAGATGAATATTATGGACATGTTGAGACATGTTGAGTTGACTGTGAAAATACTGAGATGGGTGTAACGGTCTTATGACTATGAGTCATTGAGAGGAATGGTCAGCGAGAGGAAAGGAATGGCCAAACAAGGACATCTCTGGCCTAACTGAATTAAAGAATGAACAAGCTACAGACAGAAAGTCCTCCTTTTCCCTTTCTCTCCAAAAAGAAGACATCAAAAATACTCAAGCTCAGCTATCACAATCAGGTTTTGAATTTTAGTGATTTTATCAGTTACTTAGGTTTTAAACTTAAACAGTCCTCACTTATACCTAACAGGGTAATACCCATAGGCCTAGAGGATCGACCCTTTACGACGGAGAGCTGGTCCAGTACCTCCTGAACAGGGGTAACTTGGGATCTACCACAGTACAAAACCCATAGGATTTCAGAGAAATCTCCATGAAACAAAGAAACGTTCATCTCTGACAAACTTTCAGATCGTCAGAGATGGCAAATCGTGATTGCAATTAACAGTGTGTTTAATAAAAAAACTGTTGTGTTGTGTCATGGTTATTTCAAGAATGAAAAATTAAAAGATGAACAACAATACTAACATTTTTATATTTCAAGATTTTTATTCAGAAGTATTAGTTGTTCGGCTGTTTTGCGGCTGAGTCGGTTTCTTTTTTACAAATGACATCCCCAGCCTTGGAAAAAATTTATTGACATGGAAGACTTGCTGCTGGCATGCATAAGTATTTTTTTGCCATCACATAAAGGTGCGGATACACAGCACGTCTCTCTTGCCAATACATCAAATCATCGTGCATCCTTGGAACAAAACCATCTGTCAAATATTTTTTACTTGTACAGTGGCATCAGCAGTTGCACTGTGAAACGTGATGTGTCTCAGGTGTTTGACTTGATTTCCAAATGCCAGATTTTTAAATCATCCAGCTGTGTTGCCAGGGCCAACATCTGGAGTGCAGGCCATCCTTCAGGTAAGAGCCTATTATACACAACAGGAGCAAATGATGGCAAAATAATTAAATTAACTAACATAATATGACATTTTTGGTCAGAAGCATTGCGGTTATTGCAGCCTACCCAATTGACCCTTCACTAAGCCACGCCCCGAATATAGCTGGCCAATCACAGCGCAGTATAGGACTCGCTCTAACTGAGGTCCGACACTTTCATGGCTGCGCTCCATTGACTCTAATGCAAAAAGAGTCGTTTTCTAGCTTCTTTTTGCTGTATTTTTCTAAGACATGCTCAAACACTGATCCTGGGGCATCTTGTAATAGTTACAGCAGCTACCCAGAGGGGTTGAAAGAAGAAGTACGATTATTCTCTTTCCAAAACCTAAATAAATCCAGAAAAATGTCGGCTGTGGATTGTTCCTGATGTAATCTTAGTTAGCTAACGTTAGATAACTGCCTACTGAATGTAATGTAATAAAGCCCTGCTGTTCAATTCAATTCAATTAAATTTTATTTATATAGCGCCAAATCACAACAACAGTTATCTCACAGCGCTTTTCATAAAAGAGCAGGTCTAGACCGTACTCTGTGATGTTATTTACAGAAGCCAAACAATTCCCACCAAGAGCAAGCACTAGGCGACAGAGGCAAGGAAAAACTTCCTTTTAAGAGGCAGAAACCTCGAGCAGAACCATGGCTCAGGGTGGGCGACCATCTGCCTCGACCGGTTGGGGTGAAGGAGAGAGAGAGAGAGAGAGAGAGAGAGAGAGAGAGAGAGAGGGAGGGGAGAAAGAGAGGGAGAGAGAGGGAGAGGGAGAGAGGAGAGAGACGAGAGAGAAGGAGAGAGACAGGAGAGAGAGAGGAAGAGAGAGAGGGAGGCAGCCTACACAATATCCACACAGAGGTACAGACGTAAAGGTGATGTTGCTATAGACTAAATGAAAAATGGTACAGATATTTATAATAGTGTTAATGGTAACAATCGTAATGTTAATGATTATAATAACAATAATAACAATAAGACTAGCAACAATAGTCGTTGCAGCAGAGGGTGTCGAGCAGGAACACGGGGGCAGCAGGTGACCCGCAACCACAGATCCAGACTCCACAGTTCCAGAGCCAGAAAACCTGCAGGAAGTGATAGGAGAGGAGAGAGACGAGAAAGCACAAGACTACCGGAAAGGGGAGAAGTTGTGTTAGTAACATGCAATAATGGGATGAGGTTGCATACTGTTCTGCTTTTTAATGATTATAATAATGAATAGAGGCTGACCTAGCTTTACAGGAACAGTGTGACTGTTCAGGTTGGCAAGCGCAGCACCCACTGGCTCACGCTGTTCATATAGGTTGTAGTGGCTATTTGTCCATAAACTTAAACAAAAACAAATATAACAAACTTCTCAAATGGCCACTTGAGGCTACGTCATGGTTAGGCTTTACGCAGGTTCAGAGGTACCAAAGCAAGGTAATGTCCATAACAAGACTGAGTTTGAGGAGGTTTATTCACACACATAAGCAAGCTTACAGACATTCTGCTGCCTCTCTCACGCTGGTAAAAAACCATATGCCCTCGTGCCTGCGGCACCTCTCACCTTGACCTACTTATGCAAATGAACATAACACCATGTGACCAACAAACGACAATGCAAGTAAAGCATAAATACAAAATAAACCAAATTAACTTTAACAAGAAAAGAAATAAATTGGGCTATAAATTAACTCAAACCCAAAATAAACAAAAATAAGAATATAGCTCCAACAACCCAGCCCCTAATTGTAACGGTACTTTACCCACACATTAACCTTAGCTTTAAACAAGGAGCTATTTTCTAATTGTAGCTTAAACAT